TTGATGTATTGCTTTGTTTTTGACATATCTGTTTTCATTATTTTCCCACTGTTCCCCGGTCGTAGCCGTTATTTTCACCTCATTCCAGGTTAATCGCAGAGCTCGAGCAATCTGACCGCCGTCTGGCAGAAGTACGTCTGACCTATGAGAAGAAACTGACGGAACTGTCAGCTCAAATCAAAAAGATGGAAGCGGAAAGGGATAAAGTCCTGATGGAAGCTGAGACGAAGAAAACCGACAAGGCTAGCCAGGAGCAAGCAAAGGTGCTATAAATAGATTTTTGTTTGAATAGGTTGACAACGTTAAAAATTGCAGAGAATCCGTGACGAATACGAAAGGAAACTAGCGGATATGAGAAATGAATTTAGAAAATTGCAAATGGTTGAAAGAGAACATAAGAGAATGCAGGTTTGTAAATAATGAAAGAAATATGAGGAAAATTATCTTATATCCAGGCACGACAAGAACGTGAGCGTCAAGAATTGATGAGATACCAAGTCGAGCTGAAGGAGTTGAAGAGGGTCAAGGTGAGTTTTTATTTGATTTTGATAAGAAGAAATTATTCATCAGATTTGACTTTTTTCCGATTTATTTTCAATGTCACAGAGTTGATCCTATGGCACGAATTTTCCTTTCAGATTTTTTGAGTCCGATTTCACGTCGATTTTTTTCTCTATCACTTTGCTATATTGTCAACTCAAAAACTGTTGAACAAAATTATTATTAGGTTGTCCCGAAAGTAATGTAGTTTTATTTTTGAGAATTAGTAATTTTTTGCTTTGTCGACGGATTTGCTTCTCTTCAATTTTGTTAGAAAGAAGAAGTCTTCCTTTTTGTAGCGATGTCTTGGAAGCTTCTAATATACATTCTTTGCAGTGATAAAAATGGAAAAAGGAGACCAATCAAGCTTCAATCATTTCAACTTAGGTCGCCAAAAATCTGGGGAAGTTGCGAAAAAATGAGAACGTCGGCATAGAGGTTATATGACGTGCTCTTCATAACCGAGAAAAAATTATGCTATTTGGACGTTTCTGCAACAAGTTATGAATTTTGAGTCGAGAAAACGCCAAAATTGATTAATTGTCACTCTTCTCGAAAATTATAACTTTTCGCAG